GGAAGGAAGGGAGTGAAGGAGAGTGTTCTTCACAGCCATCGATTTCCTGCCAGCCAGATCAGTGAAGAATTATGTGTCCGAAGGAAAACGGGTAACTGTTGTGAGAAGGTATAGCTGCGTGAAGTATGAAGGAGCTACTATTACCACGCATAAGGATGCAAAAGAGCCGAACGAAGTGGGTACAAAAAAGACACAGAGCTGCGGTAGAAGGCAAGGAGGTACATGTGGTAACATGTGAAATAGAGAAAGGAAAACATTTAAGTTATATACTTTTCTTGTTTCAATCACGTGATGTTACGCAAGGGCACATAAAAACTTTTCTGCCAGAGCCCTGCCTTATTCAGGGCAGAGGCAGCACATGCAGAGAAGCAGAAGCTATTGCATGTCTCAAGATACAGCACGGTTTTAAATATGCTTTTTAGACACATACAAAAAATTTCTTGTAACCATGCCTAAACTTGCCATTTACGGATATGTGGTATAAAAGAGACTGTTAATTTCCAAAATACTTTGCCTTGCATACAGTACTCCAAACACACTTCCTAAATTATTTACCTAAGACACAACAGAATACAACCCACTAACTGAAGGAAAAAGTAGAAGTTATGTTCAAAGACCAAGCATAAATGTTTATTTGATAAGTTTTGTCTTCAGAGTTTAGGGTTCTGTACTCACCTCACATCCAGACAGCACCCGGATGGACTGCGCAGCATAGAAAAGGGAATCAACGCTGCTGGAGTCTACATTAGATTTGATGAAATTGCAAGCAGCCTGTGAAGAAAGCAGCAAACTGATGGCAATAGTTTTGACTTAAGTCACTGAAAGGAGATTTAAATGATGCTCTAAGACTATTTTATGTACGCTTGAAACGACAAAAGAAACCCAGAGTAGTATTTGTGCAATAGCAGAACCTAGATACCTCAAGATCCCACTCCGCTAAGTGCTGCACAGAATCAAATCCGTTCCTGTTCAAAGAGATAAATTATTTTCAGGTAGACTCTACTGCAGACAGAATCCAAGTCGAGTACAATTATAAGACCTACCAAAATAATAGTGCTCGGTGCATATTTTGTAGGGAAATGAACAGCAGGTTCTTCTGTGAGTGAGCTTGCTTCCCAACTGTATGTCACACGTGCAATCGTTAATGGATACAGAATATAGAATTTCAAAGTGTACAAACAGAAAAATGAAGCAAGCAGCTACAAATATGAAGGCAAGCTGCAAGACTGCTCATTGACCTGTAGCAAGCCTATTATTGACTGACTACTAGGATAGAAGGATCATTAAAATTCCATTTTAACTACAAAACTGTGCAAGAATTTTCACAGATAAATCTTTAGTCTCTGGCTACGTGGTGAATAGGCTAGGCTAGGATTTTAATGGTACAGTTAACCTAAGATTACTGAAGCGCACTTACTTATGTATTATATCTAGCTATTATCTTTACTACCCCTACTTTTTAAACAGTCTTATCCCCTTTGGAGAAATATACTTCCAGAAATACAGTCTCAACACAAAGCTCAAGAAACAGCAACAAAAATAACTCTTTACCTGCAAATACTGTGTTATTGTTGCCAGAACATGGAGCGATTATAAAACCCAGCAACACTGACATCAACAAAATAAAGCAGCAGCTCCTCAACTAGTCTGTAGAAGACCAGTACCCCAGCAGACAAGGTGGGCAGCACAGCAAACCACATCATCTTCAGACACCTCACAGTTAAGAACTTGCAGCATGAAGGCACAAGAGTCCATAAGAGACTTGTACCAAATGGTTTCAGAATAGCTAAATTAATTTAATTTTTGAGGAAAAAACAAACTTCTGTTTATAAGCTAAATATATAGGCAAGCACGTACCCGCAAGTAAATCGGTCAGCAGGAGAAAAAAACTAAAGTGTTTTACATGGAAACACTTACAGATGCAAAACAAACATCGTTTTGATGCTACAAGCCTTTGCTTCTGCCTTACATGTTAGAAAAAGTACTTTACAGCCAGAAACAACAGAACAAAGTGATCTAGCTGCATTTGCTGTGCCAACTAAAAGAAGCAAGACGACCTCCATTTAATAGGACAGCAAAGCAAATAATGCCACAGGCAAAAATAGTTTTACTAAAAGAGTAAAGTAAATCGATAGCTGCGCTAACACGACAACAGGCTAAGGATGGACGAACCCTGAAATTACCATTCAGAAGCGCTAAGTACGGGGCAGCCTGTGGCACCCTCTTCCAGGACAAAGATGCCACAGCTTTACTCTAATGAAAAATTCAAATGGAAAACTGACCATGGCTATCAAGGACTTGCTCTGCTATTAAGAAAACCGTGCGTATTTACCTTATGTTTTCTCTGCAGTACAACTGACCAGGAAAACGCTGGAGAAACCTTCGCGATTTCTCACCCTCCAGCGCTGTGCTGCTCCCACGAACTCTTAGCACAGAGCAGCGCGGCTGTGCTGAACC